GCCGCCACAGCGCGGCGCCGGCGCAGCCGCCGAGCACGGCAGCGGCCGCGTGCGCGGGCCACGGCGCGTCGGCGACCCACAGCACAAACTGCGGCGTCATGACGCAGTTCACGCACAGCAGCAGGTGGTCCGCCGCGACGCGCTCGGCCGTGTCGACGATGGGCGCGGGCGTCTCGAGCACGGCGCCGACCTCGTCCCAGATCTCGTCCCACAGCGCGCGCTCGTCCTCGGCGTCGCGCAGCCGGCCGAGCGCCTCGTGCAGCAGGAACTCGTCGTGGCTGACGAGCGGCACGGTCAGGCGCAGCGCGAGGAAGGCCGGCGCGCAAAACACACTCACGCCGCGGTGGAAGTGCGACTTGTGCTCCCAGCGCAGGAGCGACGGCACGCACGCGATCGCGATGAGGCGCGGGAGCGTGAGCGCCCGGGGCGGCGACCGCAGGCGCGCGAGGACCTCCTCCATCGCCGCGACGCTCGGGGGCGTCGGCGACGGCGCGCTGTCGACCTGAATCGACGGCACGGCGGGCGGCGACGGCAGCGTGGGCATCGCACCCTCGGTCGGCGAGGCGACCAGGACCGCCTCGTCCAGGAAGCGCGGCAGGCGCGCCGGCACGGGCGTGCGCACCGCGTCGACGGTGCGCGCGCGGCCGGGGCGGGGCCGCAGGAACGGCGAGTGCGGCGCCTGCCGGTCGAGCGAGTGGTAGGAGCGCGCGCGGGACAGCGACGGGTGCCGGTGCCCGAACATGGGGTCCAGCACATGGTGCGCCATGTCGCCCGACATGGCGAGGCCCGCGTCGCCCAGCCACAGCAGATCGTGCACGCGCGCGGCCGAGAGGAGCGAATGGTGCCCGAGCTGCGGCGTGCTCGGCGCCTCGGCCTCCTGGGGCCGGTCCAGCAGGGGCGCGGCCGCCTCGTTGCCGGGGCGTGCCAGGTCGCCGAGGCACACGGTCGCGACGTACCCGAGGTAGAGGCCCAGCATGCACGCGCCTTCCGCGAGGCCCAGCGAGCCGTCCAGGAGGAAAAAGAGGACGAGCAGGACGGCCACCGTGTACGTGCCCACGTCGCGCAGGAACGAGGCGGGCGGCACCGCAAACTCATGCATCAGCATGATCGAGCCGCACACCATCGACACGGTGAACACCGCCGCGCCCATCAGCTCGCCGAGCGCGAGCTCGCCGGCGTTCTTCTCCATTGCGCGGAACGTCGAGATCACGTCGGGGAAGCCGTTGCCGAGCGCGAGCAGGGTGACGCCGACGATGCTGTCGCTGAGGCCGAGGCGCGCCGCGATCGATGCGAGGTTCGGGCAGAAAAAGTCGCTGGCCACGAGCCCCAGCGCGCTGAACAGGACAAGGAGCCACACGAGAAGGCCCAGGGACACGAGCGCGCGGCTCGCGAGGGCCGCGCCACCGGACCCCGCGCCGAGGCAGTAGTACGCCTGCACATACGCATAGATCGGCGAGTCGGCGCACTGCGCGCGTACGAACGCGCATGCCTCCTGTGCCGAGAGGCCCGCAGGCAACGGCGCACATGCGCCGCTCAGCGTCGGCGCCTCGGCATGCACGGCGCGTGCGAGGGCCAACCATACCCCGCGCACCGCCGACATGGGCGCCAAGCGGGGAAAACGAGATCGGGCGGGGTCGATGGGCCACGTGCGGACGGCCGGGCGCGGCCCACTGCTGCTTCGCGCCATGGCCCCTGCACCCGGCGTGGCGAGGCGCGCGCGGCACGGGGGCGCCGCACGGGCTCGTGTGCGTGCGCTGTGGACGGGGTGGCGCACGAAGGCGAAAGATGCGCCGCCGCCCGCGCGCGAGCGAAAGCGGCCGCACCCGTCGCCGGGCTCGCGCCTGGACGCGCTGATGCGCCATCCGCAGCTGCTCGACGCGCCGTGCGTCCCACGGCTGCCGATCGTCCTGTGTCATGGGCTGTACGGCTTTGACGTGCGCGGCCCGTTCCTGGGCCTCGAGTACCAGTACTGGTCGGCGACGCTCGATGTCCTGCGCAAGAAGATCGGCGCGACGGTGCTCGTGCACGGGGTGCCGCCGACGGGCTCGATCGAGGAGCGCGCCGAGTCGCTGCACCGATTCCTGTGCAGCCACCCCGATGCGCGTGGGCAGCGCCTCAACTTTGTGGCGCACTCGATGGGCGGCCTCGATGCGCGGTACCTGTTCTCGCACATCCGCCCGACCGAGTACACGCCGGCGAGTCTCACGACGCTCGGCACGCCGCACCGCGGGAGCCCGTTCATGGACTGGTGCAACTCGAACATTGGCGTGGGCCTCGATCTGATCGACAGCATGATGGACAGCGTCCAGCCGAACACGGTGCCGGACGACACGCCCGCGCGGCGGGCGCCCTACAGCCTCAAGGCGCCGCTGCTCGCGCGCAAGGAGACGCCGCAGACGTCGCGGCAGCGCCATGCGCTCAGCTCGCTGATGCGCGCGCTGCAGTCCGTGTCCAGCAGTGTCTCGAACTACATCCTGTCCGTGCTGGATCAGCCCGCGTATGCGATGCTGTCGACGCGGTACATGACGCGCCTGTTTAATCCGACGACGCCGAACCGGCCGGGCATCCACTACTACAGCATTGCGGCGCGTGCGCGCGACATGTCGGTGCTGCACCCCCTGTGGCTGCCGAAGCTCATCCTCGACAAGGCGGCGACGACCGGCTCGTGTGGCGCGGACACCGACGGCAGCCACGACGCGCGAGGCACGGCGGAGGGCGGGAACGACGGCCTCGTGAGTGTGCGCAGCGCGCAGTGGGGCGAGTTCCTCGGCGTCATGGAGAACTGGGACCACTGGGACATTCGCGGCCCCGGCGGCCCGCACCGCCTGCGTGTGACCGAGGAGACGTCGCAGGCGTGGTCGCTCAGCCGGCTGTGGTCCACGCTGCGTGACGCGTGGTCGGGCCAGCGCGCGGCGCCGGCGCCGGCGCCGCCCGAGCGCGCGTGGGACTGGCACGAGGCGGCGCTCAGCGAGTACGACGAGCGCTCGCAGGCGAGCCCGTCCGAGACGCCGCTGCCGCCGGCCGTGTACGCGCTCAGGACCCTGTACGAGAAGCAGCTGGACTCGTCCGAGGAGGCGGGCATGGCCGAGCGCCTCGCGCGCTGGATCTCGTCGCACCTGCCGACCGACGGCGCCGCGCCGGACGGCCGCGCGAGCGAGGCGCGCGCCGACGCGCCGAGGGAGCGCGATTCCGATACCTCGATGCTGCTCGAGTACCTGACAGCGAAGCGCGCGCCGTCGTCGCTGTCGGACGACGGGGCCGAGGCGCCGGACGACCGCGGCACGGCCGGCGCGCAGGCGCCGTCGACCGAGACGCCCAAGCTGCTCACGCGTGCGGAGCGCCTCTCTACGGCGTTCATCGAGCTGTTCCCGTATATGCTATATGCGGGCCAGGAGGCCATGGCGCCCAAGGACGACACGTTCGTGCGGTTCTGGGCGGCCGTGTGTCGCCACCTGCATGAGGAGGGTCTATAGTGGAGGTAGCGGCGGCTCGTGTCGCACCATGGCGCGGTGGCGGTGGCTGGGGGCAGCAGCGTGGCTCGGCGCCTGCGCCGCGCATGGCGTGTGGGATCCTGCGCTATTTGGCCGCGGCCGTCTTCCGCGCGTAGACGACGTGCTGCGGAACCTGACGTGGGGGCAGCTCCAGGTCCTGCACACGACGGACATCCATGGGTGTACGTGCGCCGACTGACGCCAGGGTACCAGGGGCACACCAAGCTCTCGCCGCCGGAGCCGAACTATAGCGGCGATTGGGGCGACTGGATTGCATTCACCGAGCACATGAAGCGCCGCGCGCACGCGCAGGGCGCCGACCTGCTCCTGGTCGATACGGGCGACCTGCGTACGTACACGCCGCTGATGCAGACGATGGCAACGGCCTGTGTGATGCCGTCCCGCGCGGCCACGCCGAGGACCGCCATACTGTCCCGGGGCACGTCAGCAACGAGGTGTTTGCGCTCGCCGAGTATGACCTGCTGACGATCGGCAACCACGAGCTGTATGACTTCCGCATCGCGCGCGACGTGTACGAGAACTTTGCGCCCAAGTGTACGTGCGGGCCACTCACGCAGGGGGCGACCGCTACGTGACGTCCAATGTGAATATTACGCTGCCGGACGCCGACGGGCAGCTGCGCTCGCGCCCCATCGGCGCGCGGTACACGCGCTTCCGGACGCCCCAGCAGGGCCTGCACATCCAGGCGTACGGCGTGCTCTTTGACTTCCAGCTCGGTGCGCCGGGCGTCACCGTGCAGGACCCCCGCAAGATGGTCGCGGAGCCGTGGTTCCAGGCGTCGCTGCGCGCGCACGACACGGTGGACGCGTTTGTCGTCGCGGGCCACATGCCCGTGACCGGGCACGACGGCTGGGACGCCGTGCATGCCGCGATCCGCGCGGTCTGGCCGACGGTGCCCATTCTCATGCTGGCCGGGCACACGCATGTGCGCGACTGCAAGATGTTCGACGACGCGTCGATGGTGCTGGAGAGCGGGCGCTATCTCGAGACGATTGGGTGGATGAGCGTGTCGAATGTGACGGGCCGCCCGTCGTTCGCGCGCACGTACATTGATGCGAATCCCCGCAACTACGTACGTATTCGCGGCTCACGCAGGCGCACCACGCGGGCCTAGCGCATGCAGGCCATCTCGCGACGCGGCGCGGCCTCTTTGCGCGAGCGACGATGGAGGCGATCGCCGCGGCGTGGAACCTGACGGAGCTGTATGGCGTCGTGCCGCAGGACTACTACCTGGACCGCGAGGCGTACGGCGCGCCGCACGCGCTGCTGACGCTCCTCGCGCAGCACATCCTGCCCGAGGTCGTGCGCCCGGCGAATGCGCGGCACACACACACGCCCACGCTGGTCCTGCTCAACAGCGGGAGCCAGCGGTTTGACGTGTTCCAGGGGCCCTTTACGAAGAACGACCAGTACATTGTGAGCCCGTTCCGCGATGCCTTTCTGTACGTCCAGGACGTGCCGTGGCGCGTCGCCAAGCAGCTCTGTGCCGCGCTCAACCGCCGCGGCGCGACGCACAACGAGCAGCCGGGCGGCACGCATCCCGCGCAGGGCGCCGCCGACTCGGTCTTCCAGCAGTACCTCGGGCAGCAGTGGGCCGCGTTCGGACAGGCGGAGGCGCCGCCGCCCGCCGCGAGCGGCCGGCCCGAGGCGGCGCGGCGCGTCGAGGCGCTCCTCGCCGAGGTCGCCGCGGACCCTGCGCAGGCCCAGGCGCATCCGCACCTGCAGGGCGGCACGGCGCCGAGCCTTGGCTACGTCACGGTCGACGCGTGCCCCGGGCCCGGGGACGACACGCAGCACGCGCCGCTGCCGTACAGTCCCGAGCAGCCCGACTATATTGCGTCGGAGCCCGTGCCGGCGCCCGCCGACGACGCTCTCGTGGATGTGGTGCTGGTGGACTTTATCGCGCGCCCCCTGATCCAGCTGCTCAACGCCGCCGACCCCGATCGCCACTACACGCTGGACGACGCACAGGCGTGGGGCCGCGTCTCGACGCAGTGGCTCTACCCCACGTACGCGCAGCGCGCGTGGACGCCGCCGGACCTGGCGCAGGCGTGGGCCGAGATGGACGTCGCCGCCAGCCGGGCGGGGTACCCGCCGCTGCCCCAGTGGGACGCGTACGCGGCGCATCCGTACGCGCCGGTGGACATGGCGCGTGCCTCGCTTGTGTTCCAGCGCTCGCTATAGGAAGCCGCGGCACGCAGGCGAGCCGCACAGGCACGCGATCGCGTCGGCGTCGTCGTCGCTTGCCTGGAACTTGTAGTCGTACGTGAGCTCCTGGCCCGGGAGGATCGGCTCTTTGGCACTGTGTGAGTCGGACGACGTACAACAGCACGATGCGTTTCTCGCCCTGCACCGTGAGGATCTTGGCCGTGCAGTTCGGTGTGCAACAGTGCTGCGTTAGTAGGCGGACGCACATTCATGAGCCGCGCGATATTGCCCTTGTTCGTGGCATCGACCACGACGTCGTCGTCCACGCGGAAGAGGTACGTGCTGAAGTTGCCCTGCCGTGAGTGTGCGCTACGCACCGCCCGCTCGTACATCTTCTCGCGGTGATCGGCCACCTGCTGCCGCACGACTTCGCCCACGTACTCGATGACCATCTCGCCCGGCGGAATGCGCTCCATCGCATACAGGCCCCAGTCGTGGATGGGGCTCTTGGCGAACCGCAGCTGCTTCTTGCGCGTCTGCAGCTGGTTGATGTGCAGAATGTCCGTGTCCGTGAGCGTCTCGCGCTTGTGCTGCTCCAGGTCCAGCGCCAGCCGCCGCGAGTCCGCGCGGTTGTTGCGCGCGGACGCCAGCGCCTGCGCCGCAGGCGCCGCACTCTCGGTAGCCCGGTTCCGGTCAGCCAGGTGCGCCGCCTTGTCCGCTGCCGGGATCCGGTAGAAGCCCTGCGCACGCGCGCTGCCTGCCTCGTGCACGGGCACAGACACCGCGGGGACGCCTGCCTCGCCGCGCGCCTCGCGCGCGAGCAGCTCGCGCAGGTAGTACATTTCCTCCGCGTCCTGCACGAGCCCAAGCGCCACCGGGTCCCAGGCGCGCTCCGGCGCGGGCGCCTCCGCGGGCGCCGCGCGCCGCGCGGGCTTGCCTTGCGTAGGCGCCCGCGCCGGCACGGCATCCAGGCGCTTGAACGACGGCAGCGCGCCAGCCGGCTGCACACGCCGCACGACCGGCTCCGCCGCCTTGTGCTC